GGACAAGCGTGTTCAGTATATGATCGAAGTTGTGATGGCTATCCGTAAGGACAAATTTAAGGTATAGCTTATTTGTTCCTGGCTGAATGATTGTAGTCATACAGTTAATTTAGGCTTATCCCGCGGTTCTCGAAGAATTAGATCTTATCGATGAAGATGACCAAATTACGCATACTCTATCGCTGGAAGACGCGATAAACCCGGAAAATGAACTGAGTTGGTGAAAACAGTTTTTTTTTAAACAAATTGTTTGCTCGTTACGGTGATCATGCGACTTTGCTTTTACATTTGACAATTCAAGACTTCAATCATCGTTAAATACTTAATCATTATTAATTTCAACATACTCCCTTTAGATGAAAGCATATAACTGTTATTTTGGAAAAAAAAAACCTATGTCATACCTTGTCAGTTTGCTTCGGTGTCTTCTTTTAATCCACGTTCTCAATAATCGTGTGATAAGTGGTGTAAAATCTCTGCTCTTCCCCCTTGTTCTACTCGTCGCTCATTGTTCCTTTTCTACACGTTTCTACTTTTGCATAATCAACTTTCAGATGTCTTCAAACTGGACCCTGAATTTGAAAAGAATGAGAAACAGTACGAAGAAATCCGTGCTGAGATCATTGGCGACGCTGATGATAGCGATGAAGAAGGCAGTGATGAAGACGGAGAGGGAAGTGGTGGTGAAGTTGATGAAGAGCAGGGTAAGTTGTCTGCAAACATTCTGATGCATTATACTTTTGAGTATTCTGAATGCAGCAGCCGCGGCTACGTCGGGAACAACCGAGATCATTGACAACACCGAACAAAACCTCGTTGCATTTCGACGTGAAGTATACCTCACGATACAGTCATCGCTTGACTTCCAAGAAGCTGCACATAAGTTGCTGAAGATGAAAGTACCGAAGGAGTTGGAGGTGAATGGTTTATACACGCTTTCACCTACTTACTAGCCATTTCTTCTGCTCTTAATGCATTTTTTAGACGGAATTATGTAATATGCTGGTAGATTGTTG